ATCTCTTTTGTCGTAAAGTTTTGTTTTCAACCGACCCTCATTGTCAATTCTAGATGTAAGTCAAGATATGAGGCAGACTTAACTGTAGTATCCTTTATCTCTAGTTCGATGGGATAGATTCGTTCAACATAGTCACCAAATTTTGTATTATTTAGTGAGAGAACATCAGCTATATATGTACGGAACGTAAAGTTAAAGGATATTGCTAACTTTTTATTTTTCTTCCTAAAAAGTTCCTGTATGAAGTCAGCCTCATAATAATAAAGAAATAAGTCGGCAAGAAGAGGGGCACAATTGGTCAGTCCCATTGGAATTCCGACAGTCTGTTGAAAAACACGTCCTCCAAACGTAACAAATATGTTATCAAGAAATCAAGCATTTGATAATGTCAGTTTCAGAGAATTTTTTGTTTGAATCGGAGTGATTCTTTACAAAGTAGGATTTATCCCTCCCCAAGACAAGATACTTGTATCTACGTTCACCATTCTTTTTAATGAAACAAAGTAATCCCAACTCTTTCAATTTGTCTTTTAGTTTGGAATGGGGAATATTTGTGTAAAGTGTAGAAAAGTCAAATGTTTTAATAGTATTGCAAGATGAGAGAGTCTTAGATTGTATGCACTCTAAAAGATCTTTGGAATTTTTTAGTATCCATTATGATATCTGATTCACGCCACCTCTAGAATAGGCAGTTTAACAATAACTTTGGAGCCCGGCTTTGATTGCTGATAAAATAGATGTTAATAATTTAGAAAGAGGTTTCGTGGAGCACTTGGAAGACCCAGCAATATACCATTGTTTGTAAGGACACTTATGTAGTTTAGGTATCCAATACAGTGATGGAAGATCCAGTTCTTCATCTTTGGTTAAAATTCCAAAGGAACATAGAACAGACCTATAATTATCCAGGATTTCCTCTTTGGTAAGTGTCGTGAGGGTATATGTTGAGTTTCCAAATGAATTGTCAAAACCTAATTCATTTATCAAGCAGTTTATGTAATGGTATTCACACACAAAAACGATGTTGTTTGGGGCTTTATCTGCGGGGACAACAATATATTTGTCATGGAGGTAGGACAAGTGTTTTGCAACATTTGGGTCTTTAAAAATTGACGTAGCGTGGGTATTGATAGACCCATTTAGTTTCTTAATTCGGATTTAAAAGTACATGTATTCCATCCTGAATCAATAAATTGTTAACTACTGCACAGGACTTGTGTCTAATTCTACAAGTGGAGTTCAAGCGAGTATTCTCAGGCAAGTGACTAAGTCTTAGTCATTGTCTAATGTTCACATCGCAAACATCTGCAATCGGTCGTTGGTTGCAGCTCGTTATCATCGTCAACCAAGTAGCCAGTCTCCCTGTTACGTTTATGGGGAGGGAATCTGTGATAGGGATAATTTGTGTAAATTGGGCATCTTTATTTGAAACTATTTAAAATGTTTAGTTTAGTTGAAACCCCTTGACGGACCTCATGCCTTATTACATAATAAATATCTGTCGCTTGGGTTTTAGGTCGAATAAGCGCTAATTGAAAAGACTAGAGGATTAATTATTCTTTACATAAGAAATCTTTATATTATGTAAAGCTGTTACTTTATCTATTATTTATCAAAAGTCTTATTTCCGTCTTTGTGAAAATATATTTGACACTTAATTGTAACTTATAACACAAAAAGCTTTGTAAACAAAAATCGTTACATGTTGATAAAATGGCTACATTTATTCCTTAATCCATTTTTTTTCATTAAATAATTGAATTTATTTATTTCATACAAGATTTAAACGTAAATGTTATAAATAAGTTAATAAGACGTTATGTCCACGTTTGCCCTGTCACATATGTGACCAAGCTAAAAGTCGCTTCTGAAATCATTTTGGACTTTTACTTAAAATTTACAATTCTGACATTTTTGGACTTTAATTCATTGTGTTTAATTATTCATTTTATATTTTGGTTTCTATTAACATTTCTTATCCATGATATCTTTTAATTGACATGTTTTGATGTGTTAATGTGAAATTCTCAGTTTGGACATTGAGTGACTTGTTTTAATCTGGTCCGAGTACACAGTTATCGTCCTTTGATTTTCGTTGTCCATATAGTCCCTAGTGTGGACAGTGTGTTACTTGCCATTTTTTTTTATACCCCTTCCAAATTTATTTCTCCATGTTTTATGCCTCAAATAGCAAGTAGGGGGATGAAATTACACTGTAAAAAAATTTGGGTCATGAATTTTAAAGTAAAGTAGTGATTTGGTCCAGCTGAAAAAGGTTAAAAATAAGCACTTCGATAGCTGTCAAAAGATTTCAAGACCCCCTTAACATAAAATTGTCCATATTTTGAGTTAGAGCCGATGAAGTTTTCTATAATTTTGATATGACTTGTCCCAAAAGTAGTACAACACACTGTAAAAATATTATTGAGAAAGCGCAGGTGGGATTTTTTTAATTTTCATTTATTGTCTAAAAGAAATGCACTACGAAATAACTGTGTACTCGGACCTAAGAGTTACCTAATTAGTGACCATTTACCTTTTTCATAATGTATGTTCTAAATTGTCATAATTAGATTATCATTTCATTTTTATTCTTCAAGTTCAAAAAATAGTTTAATTCTTGACAGTGAACAATATCACTCAAATTAATTGGTATTTGTTATGTTTATTCTTGTCATTTCAATTGTGTATAAATACTTGTTTATAATTTTGATAAGCAAGATTTGGACTCAGGACTTTACACTGAACACAGTCCATCTGTAATAAAAGTATCCATGCTGAATTATTGATTTATTCAACGCTAGTTCCAGAGTCTCAAGAGTTAGTTTTCACCAGAGTTTCAGTCTCAGGAGTTAGTTTTCACCAGAGTTTCAGTCTCAGGAGTTAGTTTTCACCAGAGTTTCAGTCTCAAGAGTTAGTTTTCACCAGAGTTTCAGTCTCAGGAGTTGGTTTTCACCAGAGTTTCAGTCTCAAGAGTTAGTTTTCACCAGAGTTTCAGTCTCAGGAGTTAGTTTTCACCAGAGTTTCAGTCTCAGGAGTTAGTTTTCACCAGAGTTTCAGTCTCACTAGTGTCATTGCTATTCAGAGCAATCCTTCATTGTGTGATCAGGTGCATCACACAGTTTCAGTAATAAGAGGCCATTCAGTCAGGCTCTTGTTACACACCCTACAAGTCACCCAGTTTCCCCGGTGACAGTACACTGGACTGAAATGAACGCCAAGTCACTGCACACTTGCAAACTAAACAAACTAGGTATATTAATTCCATGTATATTAGGGACCATGCATGTTTGAAATCAAAGATAAATTGATTTTGAAGTAACAATATTTTCTTATATAAACTGTCTCTTACTAAACTGTCAAAAATCTTGGAACGCCTTCAAACGTTCAGACAATACACCCAAATACTTTTAAATTGTATTATTATTTCTTCTATATAAATATACAATTTATATATGCAAAATTCATTCTGTAAAAATATACATCATGTAAAAAATGTGAAGAATCAATATAAAAACAAAATAAACATTGGTGTTGCAAAATGGAAGTTACAGTACACCGAGAACGCGAAGGCACATTTCTTAGAGGAAACCGTTTTCATAGTGTGGGCAACACTCTGGTGCGGACATGAAATTTCATAGATGCGATCATTTTCTGCAAATTTACTATTATTAGATCTTTAAAGTAGAAAAGAAAGGATACGGGATATCCATTCATGACACAAAATCAGTATGTTTACAGCAAAAAACACAAAAAGAAAAGGAACAGCTCTTTTATTGCTATTCTTCTTCTCAGCAAACAAACTCTCACCTTACAGCAAGTTTAAGACGGCCCCTAGCACCGGTTTGAGCGGATTTTTTTTTTTGCAAACTGACGATCACGCCACAACTGTGAAATGAATTGAAGACCAAAGCCATGCAGTATTATCATTAAAATAAATCTAGCAAATAAATCAAACATGTACTGTCATAATTTAGCCTGACAATCACACTGAAGAGTGCAAAAAAACAATACAAACATTTAGACAACCACGGGGCACACCGAGATATATGTTAGATAACTTGGCAGGAAATAACGCATGTATAGGTCAAATAATTCGGTTAGACTATGTAAGATGTCACACCACCAACTCGGGCCCGGTCAAAAAGAACATACAAAAGTAGTACATGTACATCTTAAAAATAAAACAGTTCCTACGAATAGGTGTAAATATCAAACTATGTAGAATATAGTTATAATAGTAATTTAGGTATCAAACGAAAGGTGAAGGACTGGTTGAACACCTTTTGACCGATAATTTTGAATAATACAAAAATGTAAGAGAGAACTCTTAAATTGAGGGCATATATTGCCTGTTACTAAGAATGTAAGATATGAAGTACCTGGTTTGTTGTACCCGAAGTTCTAATAACCAGTACACCCGTAAGATGCGTAAATAATGGTATACTGACCCCGCCTTCCATAAATATTTGAAAGTGAAAATTTAAAAGAAGAAAGCAATGGGGGCCAAGAAAAGGTGGTGTGAATTAAAATTTTATTACACAAACTGGCCTTAAATTGAGAGAATGATGTAGCACTCATCAGAGAAGTTATCTCAAGAATAAAACTGATATAACTTAAAAAAAAAACCATAAGAGCATACACCTGATCAAGCACGGGGAAGACTATTATCGCTGATACTTTTTTAAATTATACTCATTCCACTGTTGTTTGTCGCTTTGGGAAAAGTGTGTGTTAATTTTTAAACGCAAAGTGCATTTTTATTCTTTACAGAATTAAAATCTTCATATTCTAATTTGGTTAATATATAGCTATCGCGTATTCGGATATAAAAATATATAAGTCCTTGGAATTTCAAATTTGTTGATTTGTGCGTACCTGATGAAGGTATTAAAATCCAGAAAATTGCTTCGGAAGCTTAAAATTTATTAAGTTTAATTTTAATTCATTGTCAGTTATTTTATAAATATTATGCAATAGATCCTGTTATAATTATTTACCTTTATTATCACTAGGAACTGCTGATATATGCATTGTTAATGTTCCATTGAAATATTCCAAAATATACTTCGAGGTTTGGTTTAGTTTATTTATATGAACATGATCTAAGTATGCGCAGGATATGTGTAGTTGTCCATTCAGATATCTGTTTCCTTTTTTTTCCTGTTTTATAACCCTAATTTGTCTTATATGATGTAACGGAAAAACGAAAAGTAATCATTCTTGAGGTATAATTATATCTTTTCAGTCAAGCCACTAAGTGCAGTGCAATTTACATGTAATTACATTTAAACAACTTTTATAGATAGGAAATAAGATTTATTTATCATTTTGCAAAAAATAGAATCAATCGGAATTAATTATTTTCTTTGATTTATGATTAATTGTTGGATAAACAATAACATGAAGTGTTTTCCCAAATTATCAGTTAGTATGGACGTGTCGAAATGATTAGTGTTCTAAATTTATTTAACAATTTCCGCATAGTGGTCAGTTGTGGTCAGTTGTGGTCATCGTGATACCGGATACCCTTACATGTGTAAAACGTGTTGTATGTAAAAATACACGTATACATGAATAAAACATTACTACCGTCAATTTTTTTTTACAATTTCCAACTGCAAAATGTACTTATAGTAGACAAAATAGCTGATCGGAAAGGTAGACCATCTACTTGCCACTATACATCATGTACTGTACGTGTTACAACCCTAGATAAATCCGACAACGAAAGCTATATTTTTATGTAGCCTAGGTGGTCGAGTGGTCTAGGGCGCTGGGCACGGTGCAGGCGGTGTTGCCACGATGTCACAGAAGCAAAGGTTCGAATCCCGCTGAGGGAAGAACAAAAATTTGCGTTAGGAAATTTGAAAATCTAACAATGTTGGGCTAAATTTGAGACGAATTATATATATAAATATATATATATAGCAGTGTTTAAGAACATCAGTTGTTCGACCTGCTAGTCAAATGCGTTTTGTTAAAATATACTTTTTCACTATTTTGGTTTTTTGGAAAATGTTGTTTGTGCTGTATTTAGACCCATCTACCAATAAATATGTTTTGCATGCACACGTATAAAAATTGCGGTTTTTACATCGCGATGACCGTGAGGGCATTCCGATGTATTGCTATCGCCTAGATTTCCATTACGTAACTTTCGTTTTGGGTTTGTAACCGATCTATAAACATGATAAATACGCGTACATTAACGAGTGCATTCCTTATTGTTTGTTATAAACTGAATACATCTCTTCAATGAATACTGATAAAAATATTTTTGTTTAGAACCTCAATTAATAATATTAAAGTATTTTGTCATTAGATATATATATATATATAAGTAAAAAAATCATTGATAATATCTTTGCACACGTACCGAAAAATTGTGTTAACGCATGCGGAAGAATATCTCGGCAATCCCCACAAGGACCGGTAACTCTGCATGAAAGATTGTTTTTGCGGCAAAATATGAATGCCTACTCATATCCAATCTTTTAGAAAAATCGAAATTTTACAGAAGAGTTTCCACCATGCACTTGCACTGCACATTATTAGAACAGTAGAATAGAATGATATACAAATGGATGAAAATTATATATACATGTAACTATTATATTAATATAATACTAGTATATAACAACAAACCAGTGACTACTGATTTGTATCACTACAATATAAAAGTTATTACGGTGAGGTTGAATTTCCTGTCATTTATTCGTCATCCACGCACGAACTTGTCTCAGAAAAAAATATATCTCTGTACATAAACCTCAGTTTCAGGTTTAGAGATGTAATTTTTTTTCTGAGACAAGTGCTTTTGACCATCCACAAGAACTTGCGGTCATCCGATGTTCAGTACTTCAGTACTTTGATTATCCAACGCAATCATAGGTTTGAACGTTGTTTTCAATTTAGACTTGTATATATATATATATATATATATAAATAAATCTAAATATATATATATATATATATATATATATGTTCTTCCATAGGTGGAAATAATAAATCAACAATCTAAACTAGGGACTTAATTATATGCCCACTGTAGATGGTCTGTCAAAACAAACTTTCTACAAACGCATCTGCCCTTCGAAGTTCTCGAGAAACTGACTGTTTTTAAACATACATCCTGAAGACGCACCTAAATTTGGAGTTTTCGAGATTATGACTGTTTTAAAACATACTTAATATCTACTCTTATGATTCGGAGTTCTTGAGATTCTGACTGTTGGTTAACATACCCCCTGGAGACGCACCTGTTTTCTAAATTCACAGTTCTCGAGAATCAATTTTTTTGTTAAACTCTAACACCTGTAGACACATCTGCTCTCAGATTCGGAGGAATCAAGATTCTGACTGTTGTTAAACAAAACTCATGTAGACGCATCTGCTCTTATTATTTAGATTCTGACTATTGTTAAACATACCTCCTATAGACGCATCTTCTCTTATGATTCGGAGATTCTGACTGTTGTTAAACATACCTCTACTACTGGAAGTGTTTGACGACCTTGACTGGATATACATCCCTCGCACGGTCGGCTCGGTGCCCGAAGGCGTTTGGTGGGCGTTTAAATAATTTTGTGCCATCGGTCAGGAACAGGTGGAGGACGCCATTTTGATAGGCCGCCATCTTGTTTTTGTGAGTTGTTTTGGTTTTTCTTTTGTTGACTATCATGTTTGATGTTATGTCTTCACAACGGCTGCTTTCAGGGCCAGATTGGTAAGCTTGGCAGCCCGCTAATCTCGATGATGGAGTACTGGTAGATGAGTCTCGGATGTAGTATTAACGATGACAGGAAGCATTATCAGGACCAAAGTCGTAAGACAGTGAAATGGTGGTCCATCATCTAACACCTAGGATACAGCCCTCGGACGTCACTCGGCATACCACTCCCCCATCCATAATGGGTTTTTGGAGTGTATGTTGACGCGGGAATTAGCCCTACGCGGATTATAGCCTAACGTAGTCTGTACAGCGTTGGATTGATTTCTGTCATCGAAAGTAGTAAGTCGTTGATCCATCTAACAGTAAACCCTCATCGAAGATAGCGGGTAAAGGAGAGCTGACCCAGCACGTCCGTTCAGTTGTAATGACTGAGACGTGACTGATGTGAATGAATGAATGGATTGAAACATACCTCCTGTAGACGCATCTGCTCTTATGATTCGGAGTTCTCAAGATTCTGACTGTTGTGAAACATACCTCTTGTAGACGTATTTGCTCTTATGATTCAAATATTCTGACTGTTATTAAACATACATCCTGTAGACGCACCTGATTTCTAAATTCGGAGGTCTCGAGGCTCAGACTGTTGTTAAACATACCTCCTGTGGACGTATTTGCTCTTATGATTCGAATATTCTGACTAGTGTTATACATACCTCCTTTTGACGCATCTGATCTTATGATTTGGATATTCTGACTGTTATTAAACAAACATCCTATAGACGCACCTGATTTCTAAATTCGGAGGTCCCGAGGCTCAGACTGTTGTTAAAAATTTACCCCTGTAGACTCATCCGCCCTTTAGCAGTTTAGACTTGGAGGTCTCTAGATTCTGACTGTTGTAAAACATACCCCCGTAGACGCATCTGCTCTTTAGATTCGGATGTCTAGCGTATCTGGCTGTTGTTAAAAATACCCCTTGTTGACGCATCTTCTTTTTAAATTCTAATGTCTGCAAATTTGACTGTTGTTACAAATACCTCTAGTAGACTCATCTGCTCTTTACATTCGAAGGTCTTGAGATTCTGACTGTTTCTAAACATACCCCCTGTAGACTCATCTGCTCTTTACATTCGGAGGTTTTGAAATTCTGTCTCCCTGTAGACTCATCTGCTCTTCACATTCGTAGGTCTCGAGTTTTGATTGTTGTTAAACATACCCCTGTAGACTCATCTGCTCTTTACATTCGTAGGTCTCTAGTTTTGACTGTTGTTAAATATACCCCTGTAGACGCACCTGCTTTCTAATTTCGAAGTTCCGAAAACTCTGGTTGTTATTAAACATACCCCTTGTAGACGCATTCGGATATCTCAAGATTCGATCGTTGTTAAACATACCCCCTGTAGACGCATTTGGATATCTCGAGATTCGACCGTTGTTAAACATACTCATAAAAGAGAGGCAAAAATACCAACATACTCCCTGTAGGCACATCTGTTCTTTGGATTCGGAGGTCAAAAAATTATAAATATACCCCCTGTAGACCCATAATAATGCTCTCTAGATTAGGAGGTCTCGAGATTCTGACTATTGTCAAACATACTCCCTGTATACGCACCTGTGATGTCTACATTTACTAGTTCTCGACAAACATCTGTTCTTACGTAAATATTTTTTTTTGTTTTCTGCTGCTATGCATATTAAGAAAATTTGCTGTTTGTTTCTTTTTTCTCTCTATATAAGGCTTATTGACGTAAATTTTCTTGTCCTAAATGTGCATGAAACATTTGACACTGGGTGTCACGAAAACCACTATCAATCAACCATACATTTTATATTGTTTCTTTCATTTATCTTCAATTGCTGTCTCCTTAACGTTTACTCTATTTACACCGAGATGTCGTTAAATGAAATTGGATACCCTGCATTCATCATGCTTTTCAATAATATTTGGCCAAATCGCTGAAAGACCCTCCTGCTAAATTATTGAAAACTATCATTCTGCATTGACAATAATATCTTGGTGTAAATTAGATACACCATTCGGGCTAACGCCCTCATAGGTGTATCTAATACATTCAAGAAGAAGGCGTTATAAGTTGAAGGGGAATTAAACACTCTAGGTGTGCTGTTTCTTCGTCGTAAATGTAGTGTTGCAAATCAAAAGTACAAAATAAAGTGATTTTGTTAATTAGTTTCATTACATGTATGTATAATTAGATAAGTGCATGATAACTATACAATCACATAATATAAACCGCAACGTTAACAAAGCTTACATGTAATTTATTAATCATACAAAAAGGACCAAGGCCAGGTCACGGGGAATATTAATGTTTCATAACATTGTTATTTATACTTAAATATCTATTGTTTTCATAACATTCTTTCGACGGTTTCCTGGACATGTATTCATTCACGACAACATTAGTGTAAACAATATTTTATTATG